AGCATATGTTCTATTAACAGTACTAGATGGATTTGGTTCAAAATTAACTGTACGACCTTGGGAAAGTTTGTAACCTCTGTGCCTTGGTTTCCTTAACTATAAAATGAAGATAATAGTACACCTCATAAATACCACCTAGACCAGTGGCCAGTGTAGAGAAGGCGCTAAGTAAGGATTAAACTGCTAAGTATAAAGCTGTGTTCCACATGCTGCGCTAGATGCTAAAGATTCTGTGTAAATAACTTGCCTTAAAGGGATTAAGACAGACAACTGCAGCATAATTTGTCAAATATCTGCATATGAAGAATGTCTGAACCACTGAATGCTCAGAGAAATGGCTTTTATGACAAAAATTAATATTTTTTGAAAAACAGTATATGATAATAGCATTGTAGGTAGGTAATGAGTATATATAAGAGTTCAATATATTATTCTTTCTACTTTTGTGAATGTTGGAAATTTTACATAATGAAAAATTTTTTTAAATGACAAATATAATTTTCTCCTTCAGAAGACAAACAAAAATTATTTAATCTGAAATATTTTATTTCACACCAATGTCTTTATACAACAAATTAACTTTGTCAGGAAAGTATAAAGAATTCTCTTGATAAGACTGCCACCTACTGGACTACCTTAACTTCCACCATTAACAGTTGGTGATTTAAACACATTAAATACCACAGTTAATCCAATAAAAGGCAAAGCTTTATTTTTTCCAAAATAGAAAAATCTGAGAAATTAAAAAAATCCCTTATATCAGAGGTAATTCTGTTATTCTGAACATCATATTCTTTGGGGAAGATTCATTATCCTGAGGAAATCTTAGTCAAGTCTTACTGGATGTTTATAGGGTTTACCTGACAGAATGAGTGAACAGGAAGCAAAGATATTTAACACAGATTCAGTAATTATTATTGGATATATAAACCCATAACTGCAAGTTTTAGATATTAGCAAAGGCAAAATAGTTATACTGAAATAAAATCAATATAATTTAGCCATTCCACAATGAATACAATATCAAGATAGGTTGTACACAATAAATATCTACAACTTCTGTCAATTAAAAAATCAATTTAGGCTTGGCGCCTGTAGCTCAGGGGCAAGGGTGCCAGCTACATACACCGGAGCTGGTGGGTTTGAACCCAGCCCAGACCTGCCAAACAACAATAACAACTATAACCAAAAAATAGCCAGGTATTGTGACAGGCGCCTGTAGTCCCAGCTACATGGGAGGCTGAGGCAAGAGAATAGCTTAAGCCCAAGAGTTTGAGGTTGCTGTGAGCTGTGATGTCACAGCACTCTACCAAGGGTGACATAGTGAAACTCTATCTCAAAAAAAAAAATCAATTTATAAAAAATAAAAGCAAAATTATAAGTAGTTATGCATTCTAATTAATTTCAAAAACAATTACCCTAATGTATACAAATGTGTACTTGTGTCGATAAGATTTCTAATGATAGCAACATATGCTGATTCAAAAAACAGTTTCCTGTATTAACCTGGACAGAGTTGGAACAAAATGTTCTTAGTTAAATATCACAAAAATGGAGAACCAAGAATCCAATGTACTCAATTCTAATACGAAGCCAATAGACTATCTATTATACACCCCCATAAAAGAAAAACTCAAATCAATTCAAGGTGGGGGGGCAGGCAATGGGGGCCTGGGTGTGCTCCCATTTAATAGGCACATTGTTAGGGTATATGGCACACCTCTTCGGGAAAGGACACAATTATAAGAGGGACTTTACCTAACAAATGCAAACATTATAATCTAATTCTTTGTACCCTCAATTAAAAAAAAAAAAGGCTGCTTCCTTAAAGCAGCTTAGGCAGAAGCTGAGGATCACAAGCTCTGGAAAAATGCCTTAAAATTACTCAGACAGTAGCTTAAGTGATAATGAAGACAATACTGAAGATTATTAAAGATTATTAAATCTTCAGTAAATAAAACTGCTTTGTGAATATAAGAGGAAGCAAAAGTAACATTTCTAAGATATTACTTTGTATAATATATTTAAAATGAATGTGTGAATGTTTAACCAAGTTAGCAACTGAAATATTTATAACTAGGTATTCAACTATTTCACCTATATTTGTCAAGGTTTCTATACTCAAGTTAATCGAACTTGAATCTTTTTGTTGAGAAAAGGAAGGGACATATTCAGGCATTGTTTGGGTATAATATACCATTGAATTATAAAACTCCAAGATTTTAAAAAACATTTATTATTAATTATATGTATATTTACTATAAATACTTATAAAGACACAGGGTTTGAAGGAACTCCTGCTGACTAACTCTGGGGCAATCTGAACACCAAAATAATTAAGTATTATAATGAGTTAAAGTACTGGAGGGAAAAAGAAATTCGAGTCTATACCAATAATAAATATACAAATAAACACATTAAATAAATGGAAGAGAAGGAAAAGCTCTGGTTTATATCAGAATGCTAAGGACCAATTGGTAAATGTAGAGGAAGTGAAAGAGTTGGAAAATTATTAATTTTGTAATTACCATAGTAAAGACTGGAACAGATAAGAATCATGAGTGAATGTTAAATCAAGGAAGAAATTTTGATGAGCAGCAGGATATATTTTCCTGATCTTATTCTGTCTCCTCACAGACTGATTACTAGTTGCAAAGCAGGATAAAAACTATGCAGTGAGGAAACCAGATCTTTACTACGTAATCAAAAGTAACATCACCAGCAAGAAACAGATGGTTATCAAGCTACCTTCAGACATAATACCTGATGAAGGATAGATCAACTATATAGCAAAGAATAATGTGAATCTAATCATAAGGAAATATTAAAAACCCAAATTAGCAATGTATACAAGAATTCTCAGTACTAATTTTATTTTTCTAAACTCTTCTATAAGTTTGCAATTACTTCCAAATAAAAAGTCATACTATGCAGCAATCTTGAAGAATAGCTTTTTCTTTCCCTTGGTTATCACCAATTTCTCCCAGTCCTGGAAGTTAAGTAAATAGGTGTTTGTATTTCCAGTTTTGGCCACTACAAACAATGTTATTCATTAATAAATGTCCTTAAAAAGATGTCCTTAGATAATGTTGGAGCTCAGAAAACAGTACCCCAAAATGAAGATCTCAGAATCAAAACAGTTTTGTTCTGACTTTCTGCTGTCCTGTCTCTCAGTCCCACTTTCCCCTGAGGCTAGCCATAGAAATTAAAATCCATCTTCCCTAAGGCAGGCCATAAAAGCCAGAACCCCCTTTCCCAAAAGCCAGACATAAAACCTAAAATTATTTTGTGTAAAAACAGGCCATACAGAAATTATCTGACCTGTCTTGTTTGACTGCAGGTCCTAAGACACCCTCCTTTTCATTCCAGGGAGGGTCCGACCCCATACCCAGAAAGGACCAAGAATACTCAGAAGAGGCCAAAAAGAATCTAGACAGGCTTTGCTGAGTTTCTCCGCTCAGTCTATTAACATTAGATCGTTCCCATTTTGTCCAATCATATTTCTACATAGCTGTCCATACTTTGTTGAACATAAAAATGGACAATTTGCCATGTTTCTTTGGCTCTTCATTCTGGAGGCTCCCAAGAATACACATTAAAATTTTATGCCTAAAGCCAGGCACGGTGGCTCACGCCTGTAATCCTAGCCTTCTGGGAGGCCGAGGCTGGTGGATTGCCTGAGCTCACAGGTTTGAGACCAGCCTGAGCTGGAGCGAGACCTCCCTCCCTGTCTCTAAAAATAGCCCATCATGTGGCAGGCGCCTACAGTCCCATAAGGGTAAGAGAATTTCTTAAGCCCAAAGAGTTTGAGGTTGTTGTGAGCTGTGATGCCACAGCACTCTACTGAGGGTGACAAAATGAGGCTATGTCTCAAAAAAAAAAAAAAGTATGTCTTTTCGGCTATTAATCAATCTGCTTTATGTCAATATTTTTCAGTGAACCTCTGGCAGGGAGAATGCCAAGGGTCTTGGTCTAATAATAGTGATACTTTCAGCATAGACTCCCTAGGAGAAGGGAGGTATTATAGGTATTATTTTATTTTTATAGATGTTGCCAGACTGGTTTTCAAAAAGGGTGTACACATACTTCTCACTTCCATTAACAATATAAGAATACCCTGTTCCCATAGCTCGACCATCACCACATATTTTTGCAATTTGATTTAAGGTTACTTCAATTTGCATCTCCCTATTTGTGAATCAGAACGTTTTTACACGTTTGGTATCCACCTGACCTGCTTTCCTGTGATTTGTCTATTCATCTCTTGCCTTTTTTTCTCCTTTCTTTTCTGCCAATTGTTAAGAAATTTAAAAAAAAAAAAAAAAGAAAGAAATTTTTACATTACATATCTTATCTGTCATCTACATTACAAATATTTTTCCAAAGTTATCATTTGTTATTGACTTTGTTAAAGTATCCTTTGTCTACAAGTTCTTTTGTTTTCTGAATAGCTTTTCTGTGAATTGACATACATATTACACATATGTGTGTGTGCATTTATATATTTAAAAGATAGGCATCTATAAGCTTTTGAAATCCTAGCTAAGAAGAAAAATATCAAAAGTGAATGGAAAGTTAAGGTATTTATACTATATGCAAACAAGGAATAGTAGGAAAAAGGGATATGACCAGGGTGGAAGTAGTATTTACTGAAAAAATAAAGCCATTTCATATTTATTTCCCCCATTAATTGAGATTTTTAATGCACCAGTTACATCTAACTTGGAGAAAGAATTATTGTTTTCATCCTCTTTTTTTTTTTTGCAGTTTTTGGCCAGGGCTGGGTTTGAACCTGCTACCTCTGGCATATGGGGCCAACACCTACTCCTTTGAGCCACAGGTGCCACCCTCATCCTCATTTTTAATTAGAAAAACTGAAGTCTAGTGAAAAGCCACAGGGAGTAATAGATACAGCTGAGATTCAATAGTGTATCTCACACAATAACAACATTAATACATTATAGTAAAACACTGATAGCATTTAGAAGCAAGCCACTTACCTTTCAATAGCTAATTCTTTGTTAGAAAGTTGCTGCACTGTAATCACAACTTTCTTCTCTATTCCCTGCTTTAATTTGAAATAAAATTTGTCTCTATCCTTAGGCACAGGACTGAAATATTCAGAGAAAACAAGAATTACCAATACAATAATCCAATAAATGATTAAAAAAAAAAAAACCTATTCCAAGGTTAGAACAAAACAAAGCATTTAAGCAAAGCACTATATTCTTGAAATGAAATGCCACAGGTAGTAAAATTACATAATAGTCAGCAAAACAGAGTTGCTATTAATTTTTAAACTAGATTTACAAGAGCCTTATTTTTATCTCCTAACCAAGGCTAAAACCAAGATCTTAAAATTGACATGATATACAGCTTGGGTACAGTAGCTTATGCCTATAATCCCTGTGATGTAAGAGGATTGTATTAGGCCAAGAATTCAAAACCCAGCCTGGGTGACAGAGAGAGACCCTGTCTTAAAAAAGAAAAGAGATCTCATTTCTAAATAAAAACTTTCTTAAAAATCAGCCAGGCATGGAAGCATGTACCTATAATCCCAGCTATGTAGGAGTCTGAGGAAGGAGATCACTTGAGCCCAAAAGTTCAAGGCCACAGTGAGCTATGATTGTACCATACTCTAGCCTGGAGGGCAGAGTAAGGCCTCATTCTCTAAAAAGAGTAAAATTAAAAAATTTTAACCTAGGCCTAGATTGACTATTCTTCTGAATTAATTCATTAAAATAATAAATGTCAAAAATACAGAATATCTGATCTGAAAAACAAAAATAACCTAAACAACTTATTTGACCTGAGAATCAGTTTTTCTATTGGTAAAATACAGATAAAATACTATCCGGCAATTATCATTAGAATTAAAAGCACTGTTAATGTCCATAGATGATTATTAAATAGTACATAGTATAACTGTTTCCCATTAATCGACTATTTTTGAAATGGAGGAAAATATTCTGAATGTACAAGAGAAGGTTAATATAAGTTAATTAAATTTTAGTCAAATCATGTATTATCAGTAACCATCAGAAATAATTTGAAGAACATTTTAATGATAAAATTATACCATAAAGAGAAAAAAAATTATATATATAATTGTGCAAAAGTTCCCCTAGAAATAAGTAAAGGGAATGAAAGAAATGTTAAAAAGAGGTTGTGGCTAAGTTTATAGCTTTTCATTTTACTTTTTTTTCTTTTTTTGCAGTTTTGGGCCAGGGCTGGGTTTGAACCCACCACCTCCGGCACATGGGGCTGGCACCCTACTCCTTTGAGCCACAGGTGCCACCCCATTCTACTTCTATTATTTACTAAATTTTCTACAAAACTAAAATCATTAAGAAAATCATTTAAGTATCTAAAAAGGATAAGAACAGTGAAACATATTCATTCATTAGCCAGCCAGATATTTATCAGTTTAAATCTTTATGCCAACCACTGTAAAGTTTCTAGACAATAATATATTTCACGCACAATGCTAATTTTTATTCTTTTCAAATAGCTCACCTGAAGTTTCCTTTTCCATCATCTTCTTTTACCTCTAAGGAAACACTGAAGGTAAACACATCACTGTCAGGGGTAGGAATAATGGAGTCTTTCACATCAGACACTTGTCTGGAAGAACGTTTGAATGCTGTACAGAAACTATATAAAATTCTGCTTACCTAAAAGAATAAAAATGGAAATACCATTATGCAAATATTTCAACTGCATTATGATATCCTTCTCCCCTAACTCTTCAATCTGTAACTTTCCATGACCACAGTTTTCTTCGGCAGATATAGCTTGAGCAACTATCAGTTATTTACTTATTACATGACAAAATTTTCATCACACATGCATTAAAGAGAGATATTACAGGGTAAATGTAGACCCTCCTAACTCTATGTTATTACAGCCTAAAGACTCTCATCAATGTGAAGTCTAAGAAAAAAACATTACTAAAAGTATCCATCGAAAGGTAATGACACAGAATTTTCAACTTTGAAATTAATAACAGAGCATCACTTCATTTCACAGAAATCTAAGTTAAAATCTGAGGTTTATTTTTAAACTTACATAGATAAAGTTCAAGAGTAAATACCACCCATATAAACACTAGAGATCAGAAAAGAACTACAGTTTAGGAGCTGAAACTAGGATCTAGGCATCCTTAGAATCAAGAAAGGCAAGAAGACAAGGACCACCCAGGAGAGACAATAACTTAATGTCTTTAATTCAGAACCTTCCCCATTTTGAAAATACACCAATGGTGTGGCTAGAAACTAATATGG